TTCCCGGACCACCCCCTACCCCCCTCTTATCACCCCTTATCACCTCTTACCACCTCTTCCACCCCTTCCACCCCCTTCACTCTCTACCCTCTCTACCACCACCACCACCTCTACCGCCCCTACTCTCTCCCTCTACCACTCTCTTCCACTCTGTATCACCCCGTATCACCCCTTCCACCCCTTCCACCCTCTACCCCCTCTACTACCACCACCGCGTCTACCACCTCATAGCCCCCTCTATCACTTCCACCCTCTACCCCTACCCTCTTACCACTCCTTTCACCTCTACCCTCTCTATCACCACCACCGCCTCTATCACCCTGTAATCCCCCTCTATCATCATCATTATCTCTACCACCTCATAACCCTCTTTATCACTTTCATTCTCTATCTCTACTCACTGTTATCATTCTTTCCATCTCTTTCACTCTCTATTCTCTCTATCATTATCATCATCTCTACTTCTTCTACTACTCTCTTTCACTCTGTATCATCTCTATCATTATTATCAGATTAATCAGAGCTGTACAGACTGCAGAGTCAGCTATTCAATCTCATTCATGAATTCAAAGAGATGTATATGACATCATATGAGATTTTATTACAGAGTATTTAGCAGTATATACTATAAACACAGAGATCAAAATGTGATAGAGATAGTAAGAGAGAAGTAAAGATAGTGAAAGTGATAGAAGAGACTGTAGAGATAATGATGATGATAGAGAGACTAGAGAGTGAAAAAGATGATAGAGAGAGGTGATAGAGATGGTAAGAGAGGGGTAGAATGGTAAGATGAGAGTAGAGATAGAGAGTGGAAGTGATAGAGAGTGCTGCGAGGCGGTAGAGGCAGTGATGGTGGTAGAGGTGGTAGAGGTGATAGAGGTGGTAGAGATGGTAGGGGTGATAGGGGTGATAAGAGAGGGTCGGAGTGGAAGAAGTGTAGAGGTGGTAGAGGTGATAGGGATGGTAAGAGAGTGAGTGATAAGATGGGGGTAGAGTAGAGATATGAAGTGGAAGTGATAGGGGGGGCTGTGAGGTGATAGAGGCAGTGGTGGTAAAGGTGGTAGGGGTGATAGGAGTGGTAGAGGTGATAGAAGTGATAGGGGTGGTAGGGATGGTAGGGGTGGTAAGAGTGAGTGGTAAGATGGAGATAGGGGTATGAAGTGAAAGTAATAGGGGGTGCTACGGGGCGTTAGAGGCGGTGGTGATGATAGGGGGTAGATAGAGTGGTGCAATTGGCAGGCCGCCACTATGTATCCATGGATTTTTGATGGGGTGCACGTGAGGCCACGTGAGGTCACGTTACAGCGTTTTTTGCACGGAAAAGTTGGTTTTTCTTTAATATATAGAGAGATTATTATTGGGCGTTGTGTAGTTACAGCGTAGGCATCATCATTTATTATTTTTTCCACTACTCCGTGCGGATATCCAAGATGACATTAAGGATATCACTTATTAATATTGTCCCAAGCATCCCTAGGCTACACAGAATGATCACAGGAGCTTCTTAGGCGTCAGAATTTTTTATTTTATTTTATTTTTATTATTTTAATTTAATTTAATTTTATTTTTCACCCGCTCATGTTGTCATGTGTTGAATTTCCAGTGCTTTCGACCAACGATATTATTCCAACCCCAGATTCAAAATCAGATACATCATATGTCGTCACTTGGAAGGAGACGCTGTTCAACCCTCTAACTATCTATCCTAGTCTAACCGCAGTATGAATGGTCTCCCAGTAGCCTCTGCGAACTGGTTGAGTTTTGAGTTTGCTGACCTGTGTCTGTCCAAGGGAGGGCGGGGTCCGGGGAATGTCATAATTTATAGCTTTG